CAAATACCAAAGGTCCCACCGGTCGTACCAAATTGTTTCGCGCGTTTACTCGCTAACAATTAAAAAGGGATCAGACTATTATGTAAGGGACAAACCTCTTGGAACAAAGTTCCAAAAAGGGGGTGTTTATTGAATATGAAGATTACAGTTTGGACACGAACAAGATGCCTCCAAGGGGCGCAGGCACACAAATAGCAGGGAATTGAAATAATTAAAGTTAATCTAAGAAAAAGTAAATTACATTTTCTCTGTTTGAGAGTGAATTTTGTCGGGCTTCTCTTCGTTGTCTTCTTCTTTCTTTTATACGGTTTGGGCAGTTTTTAATCGTTTAGAAACTGCTTGTAACTACTCATTTCTTTCATAATGGTCGGTTGGCCAATAACTACCGTGTGTAACTCCTATCACCACGTCTTCTTCATAACTGCTTGTCCCCAATTCTCTCAAATCGTGGGGCATAATTGTGATGTGCTCAAACTGCCTTAAATCGTGACTTTGGATAACAACAAGCTTTAATCATCGCTGGGACTCTGGGCGGCTCAGCATTTTTGGGCGACAATTGGTCTTCCACTCTGGGCGATTATAGGATACTTCATTCGCTCAACATCTGGGCGTTCTACAGGCTTGAGCGACAACGCACCTTTGTTTTTGGGTTTTCATCATATTTAATGACATTTCGATTGGGCTTTTACCATGATCTCTCTAAATGGGCTTCTTCTCTTGGACCATTTCCTTTCTTGGGCCATTTGAATTGGGCTGTACATTTTGTGTGTCAACAGGTTTATAGGTTTATGGTTAATAATTTTTATCTTGTATTCAGCTTATATAGAAGGTTTACCCCTTCCATGTTCAAATGAAATATGTAAAGGAATATGCATTGCTGACCACAGAATTTTCATCCCAGACTGGGCCTTGTGACCTGATACTGCACTCTTTTGTAATATTTGTTGGTAGAATCTTGGAAATTTAATTATATTTCATTGATTCTCTGCAGGTTTTATTATGATGTGCCCTCAGTTCATCAATTATAAGCTAAACTCTGTTGTGCATTTACCTTGGAGGCAAATGACATACAAATTTCTCAACACGATCATTGATGATCTCTTTACATTCGTAATTAAAATGCCGACACTGCATCGTCTTTCTATTTTCCATGATGGTGAGTTACTGATCGAGACTTTGTATGTCTTTAAATTATGTGATTTTTGGGTTACTGGATAAGGGGGAATACTTGGAAATTAAAAATAGTAATACAATCACATAGGGCAGATGCATGTTGAAGGCCCAAAAGAATCAAGCCCCATTTCTTTGAATTCAAGGAAGCCTGATGGACTTAATACTAAATGATGGAAGAGGCTGTCATTCTTATCTAAGCCCATTGATCTAATTCTTTGCAATTCGGCCCCAGATTCTCTTCAGGTACTAGAAACCTTAAAGAAACGGAAGGGGACTGAAGGTAATGAAGATAAACTGATGTTCCAAAAGCAACGGCTATCTGGTTCTCCGGAGAATGGAGGTGACGCTGTGCTGGAAGACATGGAATTATCGATCGTGGCTACTAGGCAGCACTGCCGAAAGCAATGAGGTTCCTCAGTTGGAATGTCCGCGGTCTCGGGAATCCGAGTGACATTCGATCACTCTCTGACATTGTGCGGAAAGAAAATCCCGACATCCTGTTCCTGTAGGAGACCTGTTTATCTTCAAAGGAATTTGAATTCAGTAAATTTAAATTGGGATTTGGTAATTGTCTGGCTATTGATTCTACTGGTAAGAAAGGAGGTATCGCATTATTATGGTCTTCAGACATTGTTTTAACTGTGATAAATTATTCTCCAAATCACATAAACGTTTGTATTGAGTTTGATGGCCTTAAAGTGAAAAAATGGATACTGTCTGCTATGTATAGATTTCCTGAAACCCATTTGAGACACAGAACATGGTCTCTACTTCGCCACTTAAATAGTAGGTCAGATAAACCCTGGCTTCTCATGGGAGAATTCAATGAATTGTCATTTCACCATGAGAAGAAAGGGGGAAACATGCGACCTGAACGACAACTACTATCATTTAGAGAATTTGTTGAAGATTGTAAACTGAGAGACCTGGGGGTACTCTGGACAGAAATATGCGTGGTGTAATGGGAGGTCTAACCAGAATAGAGTTTGGGAACGTCTTGACCGATTCTTGGAAAATTCTGCTTGGATTAATGTTTTCTCTACAGCGAAGATTATAAATGGAGTTAATTCATATTTTGATCACTCTCCAATTTGGGTAGATTTGGATAGGAGTAAGGTTTATCAAAGGATTGAAAAACCCTTCAGATTTGAGGCCATGTGGATGGAAGATGCTGCATGTGAGAATCTTATAAAGGATGTGTGGGCGGAAAACTCAAATTTATCCAATCCTGCTGATATTAGCTCTCTTCTTAAAGATTACGGTCAAGTATTGAAGCGATGGAATAAAAACACTTTTGGTAATGTGCAAAAGCAGCTTTCGAGAGTCCAAACTAACCTCAAGATTTTACATAAAATAGATCCTTTGCTAGCCAACGATGATGAGCTGAGTCAGGCTAGAGAAGAAGTGCAGGTTTGGCTAGAAAGGAATGAAGTAATGTGGCGCCAAAGGTCAAAATCTCTATGGCTTAAAACGGGAGATAGCAATACGAAATATTTTCACATGAAGGCCTCACAAAGGAAAAAGAAGAATACAGTTGTCAAAATATTAGACAAAGAGGATTGCTGGAATGAAGATTTTGACAGAGATAGGGTGATCACTCAGTATTTTCAGTCTTTATTTACCACCTCAAACCCCTCGGCTTCACTGGATTTTCTAGCTCCTATTTCTAATAGGTTCACTGATCAAATGAACTTAGGTCTTACAAGTGAGTATACTGCTAATAAGGTGAAAATAGCACTCCTAGAGATAGATCCTAATACAGCTCCAGGGCCGGATGGAATGTCACCAATATTTTTTCAAAACTACTGGCATGTGGTGGGCCCTTCAGTCACTGTGGCTGTCCTCCAAGCTCTTAATTCAGGTGTTTTTCCATCCCCTCTCAATCATACTTTTTCCGAAAAAGAAAAATGTTGTTAGAGTGAGTGACTATCGGCCTATTAGCCTATGTAATGTGATTTACAAGCTCATTCCTAAGGTTCTCTCTAATAGGCTGAAAGTGGTCTTACCTAATGTTATTAGTGAGAGTCAAAGTGCTTTTTTCTGGGCATCTTATTTCTGACAATGTTGTAATTGCTTATGAGTTAGTTCATTTTCTTAAGCACAAAAGGAAAGGTAACAAGGGTTATATGTCATTAAAACTTGATATGAGTAAGGAATACAATAGAGTGGAGTGGAATTTGGTTCAGTTTGTCATGGAGGTTATGGGTTTTAATGAGTCCTTCATTTCTCTAGTTATGTATTGTGTAAGGTCTGTGTCTTTTTCTGTCTTGATTAATGGAGAGCCTAAAGGTCCTATTCTACCATCCAGGGGATTGAGACAAGGGGACCCTTTATCTCCTTATCTCTTTCTCTTATGCACATAATGACTCATTGCTTTATTAAAGGAAGCAGGAGTGAGACAAGATATCTTTGGTTTAAAGATTTGCAGGGGTGCCCCAAACATCAACCATCTGTTGTTCGCAGATGATAGTATTATTTTCTACAAGGCTAACTTGGAAGAGAACAGACGTATTCAACACATACTGAGCAAGTATGAAACTGTATTAGGACAGAAGATTAATAAAGAAAAGACTGCAATGATATTCAGCTCTAACGTTAGTGACGAGAGGAGGACTGAAATCAAAAATCAGTGGGGTAATAGTAAGATCCAGCAATACGAGAATACTGGGGCCTTCCTCCTATTATTGGAAGATCGAAGAAAAGAGCATTTTAGTCTACCAAGCAGAGAGTATGGCAGATACTTCAATCTTGGAAAGAACGGCTTTTATCCCAAGGTGGCAAGGAGATATTGTTGAAAGCAGTAGCTCTATCTATTCCAACTTACACTATGTCATGTTTTCTATTACCTACTACTTTCTATCATGAGCTAGAAAGTATGATGTCAAACTTCTGGTGGGGATAAAAAGGAATGGAGAGAAAGATCAGCTGGATAAGTTGGAGCAAAATGTGTCATCAAAGCAAGGGTGGCGGTTGTCCCAAGAGAATTCCTTACTACTTCATCGCTTGTTCAAAGCAAAATATTTCCCAAACTGCAGTTTCTTGAAAGCTGGCCTGGGTCATAATCCCTCGTACACATGGAGAGGCATTTGGGAGGCATTTGGGAGGCAAGAAGATGGATACAAGCAAGTAGTAAATGGCGCATAGGAGATGGAACATCAGTTAATATTTGGCACGACCAATGGATTCTAGGACATCGTGCCTTGTTGTCAGAAGGAAATGTGGTATGGGAACACTCCAGAAATGACACAGTGGACTCTCTAATTGTTCATAATGAAAAGACATGGGATTCAGTCAAACTGAGAACTTTCTTTAACTACATTGGTCAGCAGCAAGCAGGATTCTCAAAGGGTCCAAATGAGAAGCTGTTGTGGAAACATTTGTGGAAGATGAAAGTGCCGCATAAGGTAAAGGTTTTTTGCGTAGAGAGCATGCAAAGATGGGCTACCTACAGCTCTAAATTTGGCGAAGAAACATATCTTAGGGCAGAGTCTTTGCAGTCTATGTCATTCAGGAACTGAGGATCTGCATCATGCTGTGATAAATTGCAACATGCTCAGAGGGGTTTGGAATAATTTCTTTCCAGAATTGGTCAACAATAATTGCAGACAAATCAAGGAAAAGGCACTTGCTTTATGTGAGACAAAAGAAGTAACAAAGCTGGATACTTTCTTCATGCTGCTCTGGAGTTTTTGGTTCAGAAGGAATAAATTTGTACACGATCAAATTAGGCTGGATCCAAGAAAGATAGCTGATAATGCGTTGGGTATATTAGATATGTTCAATAAAGCAAGGAATCCAACTTGTATTCAGATCCGAAAACATTTCAAATGGATACTTCTAGAAATGTGGATGGGGCAACATTTAAAGAATTGGAGAAAGCTGGAATAGGGGTTGTTTTAAGAGATTCTTCTGGTACGGTGATTATAGCAATGTCCAAGATTGAAAAAAGTGTCGAAGAGAGTGAAGCGATCGAATTGCTGGCCATATTTAGAGGCATGCAGCTATGTGTCAATATGGGAATCCAAAATCTTCTGGTAGAAAGTGATAGGAAGATGGTTATTGAAGTACTTCAAACAGATAGCATGCTGAACTCTTCTTTAGGAGTGTTGTACCAGGAAGTGAAAATTTTTGCCACTCACTTTGTTAACTGCAACTATTCTCATATTTACAGGGAATGTAATATGGTGGCTCATAAGCTAGCTAGGCATGCTCAATGGGTAGATGATATTTGTGTTTGGTTGGATAGTATTCCAGACTGTATTTCTCAAGCTATCTGGCTAGATAATTGTCTATAATCGGTTTATCTGTTTGTTTAATGAAAGTTCTTTTCATATAAAAAAAAATAATACAATCATTGATTGGTAGCACTATTTAATGTTTTAGGTCAACTTGTCAATGCAAATCTTTTGGGTAAAAACAAGTTTTTAACTTGTTCTAACCAATGTGACATGGTAGGAAAACTCATAAAATACAAGACATGGTAATTTTAATGTGATTTTGACAGTAATATTAGAATTAAATTAAGGAAGTCGAGGATTTTGTTAGGTTTTAAGGACTTGAAAGAGAAGTCAAGAGATTGACATTGAATAGAGAATTTTTTTTCTGGATTGCCAAACAAATAATGAGTCTAATAATGGAATTTCAGTATTTTTTGACCTATGAACCTAAGAAGCACATGCTCAAATACGATACTGGTACGCCGATAAATATTTTTAAATAATTAGGATATGTAGATGCGTGTATATATTATATATATGTGTAGTATTTTTTATACGTTAAATCATAAAATTCAGCATAATTTTATTATTAAAAAAATAAAACAAAGCCTTACAATAAAAATAGAGAAAAATTACTAAAGCATTATATAGGATAGTTTAAATAATAATTTTTAATTACATACAAATATATGGTGGAGTTTAATTATATTACACAGTTTTACATTTATAGAAGTTTTAATACGATGGATGACCCTCTTTTAGAAATAAGTAACAAACAATTGATCCACTTAAAAAAATCTCGAATGGTTGACTCTTAAAAACATGTTGACCATGCTTAGGGTTTTGCTTTCAAATTTCACTGCTCTCGCCGATGATAGCCTTTTCCATTGCTAATATAAGATGGCATCAATAATGATATACGATGGCCACAAGGTGAGGATTACTTGATAGGCCCTCAATGTAGAGCACTTCATGTGAGACCGTCTACCATCATAGGGTGCTTTACGTTCACATGGACCGTTTACTTCTATAGGCCGCCTACCACCATGCATGGGGCATTCTACGTTCACATGGGCCGTCTACTACTCAGACTGCCTACCATCATTTGGCCGTCTACTACCATGGGACGCTGTATGTTCACATGTGTCTTCTACCACTACAGGCTGCCTACCACCATTACTACCATTGGGCACTCTACGTTCACATTAGCCGTCTACCACTACAGACCGCCTACCGTCGTGAAGTTGTCTACCACTATGGGGGACTCTACGTTCACATAGGCCATCTACCACTATAACGCCGCCTACCACCACGAGGCCGTCGACTGCTATGAGACCAACACCACACTTAATTCTAAAACGTGAGATAGAAAGAAATCGTTCAACGTCAATCGTGGACACAACTGGAGAAGTGGGGGTTATCACTTTAGAACGTGGGGAAAGTGGCAAGAGTTACGTATGGACACGTGGCACCAATAACCGCTGAACATGTACGTTGCATCAGGTGTCTATAAATACCCCAAAGATGAGAAAGGTATGAAGTTTTTTGGAACCCGAACTATTTGAATCTCAATTATTTTTCCTTCCTACTTTTCGAAAACCGCCTACTAATTCTCACGCCGGAGATAAAATGGGGGATGAAGGCCCAGCCTCATTTTGCAAGTAATGTTTGTCTATCGGAGCAGCTGGAACACCCAACACTTCAAGGAGAATGTGGAGATCAATCTCGTTACAATTTCATTGGCCCCATCTGTAGGAATCCTCTGAACCAAAAAGCTACGTCAAAGAGACGGACTAGGAGTAAAACGCGCA